GGTGGCCAGACACCCCATTATCCATGTGAAAATACGCAGAAACAATGTTTCTGATTCTCCTACGTGCCATCCTTGCTGCTGCATCGGTAATACAATAAAGTGTTTTACTTCCTTAGCGAGTAAGAGAGCCATTCAGTTTTGAGAGATGGAAGGAAAACTAATGCTTGTTAATTATAATATTAATGATTAATTTCTGTTTCAGAACTTTAGTTACTTTGCTATATAATCTTTTTTACCAAAAGAACCCTTTTTTATATGCATTTTTACTGTATTTATCAATTAAGGGACCCATCATCAAGCATCAGATATTCTTACAAGTTGTGGGGTGTCCAAGTAAAAACAGGTTTCTTTAAATCATTCTGAAGCCATATCCCGCATGGTGATAATTTTTCTAGCTGTTTTTTAGATAGGCAAATAGGTACTCACACATAAGTCCCAAAGAAAGCCACCGTATGTGTTAGTAGTCTGTACATCTTACTACCTTAAGAAACAGTACAGTCATAGAAAAATGAGACTTCCACTTTTTTCCTTGAAGGATCTGTGAAAAAGTGTCTTGCGCCACTGTACATACTATCTGATCTTGTAAAGAACGAGCCTTAAGTCCCAAGTGGTTGAAGATAAAGCCCCTATTTGAATCGAGATTTTCAGCCTTGCAAGTCTTTTACACGGAATTTAAAATTGGAAATGGAAAATGAAAATTTACATGGAATTTAAAATTGTTTCTGCAGCCACATTGTATTTTAATATCATAATTATATTTCTTTTGAAGTTAATTTTATTCTCATTTTCTTCCTTATATGTCCTTAGCTTTTAAGTGAGACTCAAAAGAGACTCAAATACTGAAAGAAAAATGACAATATTGAACTGAACATGCCCACTGGTAATATAAATATTAATGTGAAAAAGTAGTGTTGGTTGAATAATTGTTTTGAACAAGGTGAGAATACAAGACATAACTAGAATTAATATTTGATCCTCCTTGTGAAAGCAGATGGCTAAGGGATTTTAACTCTGCCTGCTATAAAAATTTTAACCACTTTTAAACTTGAAGTTATTAACAACGTTAGGGAAAAGAGCAAAATTAATCATTGAAGTTATTATATCTGAATTTCTGTGAGCTTCATTGCAGTTGATGTAAGTATCCTCCATAGGTTTTCTCATGACGAGCTAAGAGAAAATGATGAAACAACTGAGAATATGTATGATGAAATATATTAAATTACCCTTTGCATTGCACAAGTAAAATGTTAAGATCTTTGCTTAAAAGATTCAATGTGGACTTCTTTGCACACAGTATTGGGAAAATAATATTGAAGTAATTTTTTAATCATATTATTTTATTCTCTGAAGACATAGTTATATGGATTGTTCTATTTTCTGTCATTTGAATGAAGTCATGTAATAATCTATGCTGGCTATATAAATTTAAAATATAGTGACTTCTGTTGTTTTTGTCCATCACCAGGCAATATTTTATTTTTTGTAACATGGGCAAATCTGATGCAGTCTGCACATACAATAAATAATCCCAAAGTAAAATTGTAGCAACTAATGATAGATAATTACATATATTCTTCATTGTATCTATAATATCTATATAGTTTTCAAATTCAGTCTGCAAGAAAACACAATTTTGAAAAAAAAAATTATGTAGCAAATGTTGATGCAGGAGTCATTTTAACAGATGGCACAAATCAGAGCAACCCTATCTTCTACTGGCTTCAGTAGAATGCAGAGATTTTTTTGCTGTTTCATGTTGTGTAATTTTTTCTTTCTTCAACTAGGAGAGACTTTTCCTTTACAGTTCTAAGTGTCAGGAGGAAAGACATAAAAGTGTATGAAGAGAAAAAAAAATCCAGCATGAACATGTCACAAGTAACAGCAGGACACTGCTAGTACTATTTTTGAGATAAGATTATGAAGTGGCGACATCAGATTTTCTTTTCATTAACCACTACACAGACAAGCGAAGTTCCTTCTTTAATCTACAAGATGACTGTATTTGGAATAAAACAAAACGGCATGAAAAAGTTATTACTGAAAGACAGAAGACTGTGCCTCTGGTTCCCTTCCTCATCTCCTTATGATCAGTGTAAAATGCCACCCAAACATTAATTTGATTTACACAATCTCAAATGGTAACATAATATAGTAATAGAGGCTTCCTAGCCTGGAAAGTAAGCCATATGGAAAAAAAACAAATATGGATCTACTGATGGCCGTTATCTTTTACACGATACTCTTCATCAGTTCCTTATGCTGAGCTGAGGTGAATACAAAGGGGATAGAGGACTCCACCATATCAGAAGGATTATGACCATTTGAGCGGTACAAGACAGTGGAGAAGTCCTTCAAGTTCTGTCTCTTACTTTCTTCTCAGACTTACCTTGTCCTTCATGATAATGGATGTAAACATTGCAGTCTCCCAAAGGCTAGGATGCAATAATCTTATATGTTTCCTTCATAGTTTCTAGAATCCAAATGAGGTGGAGTCAGTGAAGTTGTTTCTTCAATTTCTTTTCAGGAATCCTAATAGTGGAACACATGAAACAGGAAATTACACAGTTCTTTCAAAAAGTGTTGCTGATGTGGGAAAAAAACCCTTAGTCTGTGGCCAGATTCATTGCTTAGGGGTTGTTTTCTTCAAAAGAAAAGATGGAACTGAGTATACCAATACAGGCTTAATAACTGTATAAAGTCAGAGTTATAAGAGTAATGACAAGTGCACTGTTTTCAAGAAAATAATGTATCTGAGAGGGAAAAGTCAACCCATAGTTATCGTGAAAATGCAAAGGAAGCTTGACTGTGTCTTCAGCAATTCTTTTAAAAGGGAATAGCAGTTGGACTGGTGAACCTCAAAGATACTGCAGGTTTTTCTTAGTTCATTCTGTAAAGTAAAGGGAGATGGATTTTGAGCATAACAAAAGGAAATCTTTTAAAATTAGAATGTCTGCCTTATCAGAATAAGAATTTTGAGGCCTGGAGCACAGGAAGGCATGAATTTTGTGGAGCCCTGAGTAACTGCTAGAGAATCTGTATGTTATTCTTTAACCAAATGGTGCCACTTTAAGGTACAGCCTTTAATTTGCCATCTAAAGAAGTGCTTATGCACCTGAGTATACTGTTGATTTCAAGTTAAAGTAAGTGTGTTTTCTCACATTTAGGTCACAAATAATCACTTGAATGCATAAAAAAAGCCTATGTAAGTAACTTACAGAGAGAGGAGGCCATACTTTCAGTACCGTTTGATTTAAGGGTATAGTTGGAAAGATTCTGAATATGGGTTAAACCAAGCAATTATATTTTCCAATTCTGCCATTTGGAAAAAAATTCTGGGTGTCTTACTTGAGTGTCTACCAAAATTGGCATTAAACTTCCAAAAGAGAATAGAACTAATGATTTGGTACAGCGCCAAACAATTAGACCAGTGAATAGACATTATTCCACCAGCATCTATTATCGGAAATATCTGGATTTCTAAATGTCAGCTAAATAGGCTCACCCCACAAACTATGAGAAAGCTGACCTGACCTTTTGACACCACCTGTTCAGGAATGGGAAATTTTTAAGCATGCTATTCTACACAGATAAAAGGTTCACAAAATCTGACCTGGAAAGAATGGCTAAAGAAATTAGTTTTGTTTAGTCTAGAAAAGAACAGACTGAGGGAGGATGTGATTACAATCTTCCACTACGTAAAAGAATGTAATAAAGATGCTAGTGATTGTTTTTCTGTGTCCAGTTGGGGAAGAGACGAGAATAAAGATGTTTAATACAAAGCTAGGATATTTACATTATGTATTAGGAGAAAATATTCTAACAATAAAAAATAGAGAATATGGTGCAGACTACATAAAAAAAATGTTATCTTGTTAACTGGAAATTTTCAAGAATAATTAGGCCAACACCTGTTATTAATAGTCAAGGTTGCTAGTGTTGTTCATGGTGCAAGGGCAATAGGCAGATGTATTACACGATCATTTAACAGTTTTTGCCCATCTTTCGTTTCTATAGCTGATACATTTGGCAAGGCACTCTATTTCAGATTTGTTGTTACATTGGATATGAAAATATTGGATGTTATGTTGGATTTTTACATTGGATATGAAAATATTAAATAGCCTCTGGTTAACCAGTGTTAATGGGAGGCTTTTTATTTGTGGAGGATACTTCAATAACAAAATAATTTTTTAAGAATTCTCATTATGTGATTAAGATAACAGTGTTAGAAGGATGGCAGAGTAATAGGTAAGGAAATGATAAAGATTACTTATTGGCTTTGGATGCAGAATTCTATTAACAATAGCAGTGAGTTTGCTATTATGAATTTTTTTTTCTCTATTACTTGAGAATTTTGGTATTATACATTGTTTTCTGGTTGAGATTAATAACAAGAAACTGGAAATTGTGATGAATAATCATCCCATACAGATATACATAGAACTGAAGCATGGCCTACCCACTCGAAAGAACAGAAATAACATCAAAATTATAGCATCTTTCCTGAATATTTGTAAGAACTACTAAGACAACATTTCATAGTGTGATCCATCACAAGCTCAACAGCAACTGAGTAACAGTGAATGAAACTGCTAAAGCATAAGTTGTGTATAGGCCTTCTACCCATTTTGCAGATTAAAAGTGAAAGTGGGTGAAAGTTTTAGTTCTCATTCCATGTTGGTACTAGTTGTGTGATTGTGGTTGAAAGCATTACATGCTTGCAGCTCGGTTTCTTATGGTTGATGTTGGATATAAGAGCTTAAAGATATGTTAGTCTTGTAAAGTCTGACTGAAGCATTTATTTAGATGCATAAAATTGAGAGCAGTGTCAAACATCAGGGCTTTAATTTTACCAATTAAACAAATTACTTGAATTGTAGCTCCCTGTACTTTCAGATTTTCTTTGAAAGAACATGATAATATTTATCTCTCTTTTCCTTTTGAGTTTAGGAACTGATTATATTTGTTTTATTACATACATGTTTTGGATTTTTTTCTAGGTGCTGCACAATGGACTTGTGATGGAAATGAATCATCCAACAGCTGGGAGGATAGCTGTTCCAGGTTAGATGTTTAATTCTGTTTTCTAAATGGAGCTTGAAATTAAATGCTACATGACATCCTGAGCAGTTCTGGAACTCAGCTGAGGACATGACACATCTTCACATTTCACTCAGATGAACGAAAGTTTAACCAGGAAGACGTTTGTGCTCATATTCATTCTGGTAGCGGAAAAATGGGTTAAAATGTGTGTCAGAATAGCTTCTGGTTTTCATCGGTCAGTTGTCATAAAACATGAACATGGATTTGATAATATTTGCAAACTCCCACTGCTAGAAATATTACTTCTAAATCATCTACACGAATATGTGAATCTGTTTTTGATTTAGGTCTATTTTGCAAGTTAGACAGGCTTCTTTTAGGGACATTTCTCTTGTAAAAAACAGAAAAAAAAAAAGGAAGAAAGAGGAGGGAAGTTCATACTGAAGGTTTCATCACACTATTTTGTTTAATGAGTTTAGACATGAAGCTCTGCAATGATGAAGTCTTAAATAGCTATTTTGGATTTCCAAAGAATACAGAAGTAATAAACTAGTGTCTCCTCTTTTAAGCTCTAAGCAGCTCAAGACTTGGAGCTGGTGTAGCTTTGCTTCCATTAGAGTTAGTTATGGAATGGGGTTAGGTTCATCTTAGAGCTATTATGAAAACTCTCATTCAGATCCTTGCAGTTGGCTCTGTTTTGACAACTGAGCCTTATCTGATAATCTACTAGCTATTGGGTCAACTTTTTCTGCTTCTCTATGCTTTTCTGTCTCCCAAGCCACATTGAGAATTGTTTCCTCCCTCATTCAAAGCACCATGTCATTTTTATTTTTATAACATCTTCTCCTTACATTGTGATTTTCTGTGCCAAATTCCACCCTCTGACACAGCATCCAGTTGTCATCAATTTCAGTTGACTTGAGCACATGTAGTGGTAAGAAGAATTTGACCCATAAAATTTATCTTAATTTGCACATCCTGGAATCACACTGGGATGCAGAAAGAATTATTTGAAAGAAATCAATCCCATATTAGATCATGTTTTCTGCATGAATAGAGGGGTGTTTTGTGTGTGTGTATGTGTATGCTTCATATTTGCTCTTTATCACAGTTTGCATTCCACGTTTGGTCCCACTAGGCTTGGATGTTTGCTTGATTGTATTCAAAAATGCTTCCCTAAGTTAGATGCACATATCTGGAAATAGTAATCCTTTTGTTTTCGTTTCTATACAGAAAAGTAATCCTGGTTTATTTATCCAAAATGAAAAGACTAATAAGGGCTTCTATTTAATTCTTTTTAAAGAAGTGGGCAGAAAAGCCTTGCAGATGGTAGAGAAAGTGCATAAGGTTTTCATGTTGCATACAATGTATAATCTATCTTAGAGAAAGCAAATACCCCTTAAGGGGATCGGTTAAACTGCAAGAAGAGGAAGGAGATGAAAGGAATGTTCTAATGTCTGTCAGCAGCGATAGAATGTATTGGCAAGAGAGTGAGTTTTTACATAGGTAAGCCATAGTACTTCCCAAATCCTTAGTTATTTTTTATTTTATTAAACCAGTGACACTGCACTAAACTAAAATAAATCATTTTAATCTCTAATGGTTTGCCATTTAGATGGGCTTCTATGAAGAGTTTCTTGTATTGAAGCAGATGGCTGAAATGATTATTGGATATTTGAGCAGGAAAAGGAGAATTCCTTCCTTTCCTGGCATGAAGGATAAGGAGGGGAGAGACAGGGGAGGGAAGGGTGAAGGACACTCATTCAGTGTGAGCAGAATGGACCTATTGATATCACTGGAAAGAAAGCGCATTACTCTGTCCCAAAATTAAAGTGCATAAGTGAGTTTGGCCACTGTTGATGGTAGGTAATGGAAGTACCCTGGAATTGTCTTGGTCAATGATATATCTGAAGAGTAGAGCAGAGAGTGTGTGGAGAAGACCTCTGGTAGATAAACTGTTTCTCAATGACAGTTTAAAATAGCAATAACTTTTTTTTTTTTTCAATGTGATTGCATTTGAATATATTTGGTAGAGAACAACTATACCAAGCCTTCAGTTTCTGGTTCAACGTTGCTTAATAAAGATATTAATGTGAATGTTGAAACTGAACAGACTAAAAATGTCTCTCCTTAAAGGGACTGTGGAGGCTCTGATCCCAAAATAAAAATGGATGACTGTTCTTCTTAACCATATAAGCCAGATTGTAATGTGTCTTTTAGTAATTGAATTGGACATTACACTTGAGGCTCTTGACAGAGGTCAGACGTGTGCTGCCAAGTGAAGTTGTGAGTGCAGTGACATACACTTACTGAGTGAGAGCATGCTGGCAGATTTCAGCTCCGAGCATCACGGCTGGCCTCTGTTGCTAGCACACTGGTTTGGAGTAGCCCTTCTCTGGGCATGTCCCCACTTTGAGAGTGGGCTTGAATCTGTTAATGAATCAACACTTGTAGATCTTGCATCTTGAAATTCTGAGGGATTTTGCCATTGACTTTAGTGTAGGCTACATTTTTAAAGTTGGGCTTGGGATTCATACCCCTCCTTTGCTTAAATATCTTTTGATATGGTTATTGAATTTTGTTCTTTCCACGGCTAGTCAATGCTTCCCCCCTTGCCTTTTCTTATAATTCCCAGCCTGAGATATAATGTGCGCCGATAAGCATATCATAAGGTATTGGTGGATCTGGAGTGGGAAAAGTCAAATCATAAAAAACGTATTTCTATTAATTTTTCATTTCAAAATATGTACTGATGGTAGGAGAGATACAGGCCTTGTATTTTTGATATCTCTTGCTTCAGATATTCATTGAAAAATGTCTTTGTGCATATACAGTGCTGTCACTATTAGCAAGATACCTTAGATCCAAGAACAGATGTGAAAAGGGGCGTTCATCATGGCTGACTAAGAGCGACTGTATAAAAGATTATAAGACCATTTTAAAGAAAAATGTGGTTCTTTGGTAGTTGAGTGATTTCATTAGGATAATGTTTCACATATACCATTCAGTATATTCATGTTGTGAAGTTATTCTGGAGCTGACTTGCTGTATATGCATACTTGACATATCATATATACAGAAGGTGCAATACTGTGAGAGATCCGTGCTTGAGTCCCAAAGGCCTGGCACTGTACTGCACTCATTCCTTGCAGGACTGGTTTGTCTGACTGCAGGGCTATACTGATGAGTGTCTTCTGGGCTCTATATCTGATAGTCAGCTTCATCATGTTTAGTTTGGGGCAGGGCTCTGAAGATGATCAGGAGCTGGAGGACCTCAGCTGGAGAGGCTGAGGAACAAGGGCTGGTTGGAAAAGGCAGCCTCAGGGGGCCCTGGCAGCAGCCCCCCAGCATCTATAGGGAAGTTATCAACATGAAGACCCAGGCTCTTCACAGCAGTGCATGGTGGGAGGATGAGAGACAAGAGAGATTCAGACTAGATGTTGGGAAAGTCTTTTTCATCATGACAACAGCCAGGCAGCAGAGAAGGTTGCCAAGAGAGGTTGTGTAGGCCCTATTCTTGGAGGTTTTCAAGAAACAACTCAATAAAACAGTAAGCTACCTGGTCTGACCTCAGACTTGAATCTGGTTTGAGCAAGAGCTTGGACTCAAGACCTACTGAGGTCCTTTCCAGCTTGGACTATGTTCTTATTCTGTGATTAACCTCAGTATCTTCTCACTCAGCTCTGTTGTGCTTAGCCTTTTCCATAGAGATCTGAAGGAGAAATGGCATAGTTTTAAGAAAATGGGAAATGTAGAGCACAGAAAGTACTTTTGAGGGCAAAAAGATGATAGGGGAGAGATGTTTTATAGAGTGCCAGATTGCAGATGGTGCTGGATGGCACAGAGACAACGCAGTTAAGTGAAGGGACAAAATTTCAAGAAGCTTTAGTCTCTGGGTTAGTCTTGAACTACTCTGCCAAAGAGCTATGGGCTTTTCTGAAGGACAGTAGCATGTGGGTTTCTGGGAGCCACTGAGTAATTTATTCTGAGTTGCAATGTGGAGCATAATGGATACCAAGCCATACTGATTACGTAGAAAAAGCTAGTGAATGCAATGCAATCTTGCCCAAACCTTTTCCATTATCATCTATTTTATATGGTTAGGAAACTCAATAATATTCCTAACTTCTGCATTATGTCGTGTCTAATGTTGACTTTAAAAGCTGCCAGTTGTTTTTTGTAGTCAAAAGAGTGTTTGTAATATGATTTTTTTTTTTTTAAGGAAAAAACACAATGCATTCAGCTGTCCCTAAAAAAATAACCTTTGTAGAATTTATTAACTAGCAGGAACCTCTGTGAAATAAACCTCATTTCTGACCCCTTCTAAGCCTTAGCGAATTGGGAATTTGGATATAAGCCTACTCTTTGGAATCATCTCTCATCAAACAGGAAACAATATAACTGTAGAAATTGTGTAAAACACCTCTTCCAGACAAAACAACTATTCTTAGTTTTGATAATGTTTATACTGTGTGTTCTCCTCATCCCCATTTCCTGAGTTGATAAACACTATTTCTGTCCTTTGGCCCATGATCTACATCAAGGATGTCTTTATTGCTCAGAAAGGCCAATTTCATACCTGGCTTCGTGATTTCCTTCTGTGCTCCTGAGATAACGTGTTCAGGGGACTGCTCCAAGCTCAGCTAGGAAAGGCAGTACAGGATTCCTCCTTGGCATAGATTTCTTGGACTGAATTCAGGCAATCTATGTTAATTAATCAACCCACTCAGGAGAAATGTCCCTTTTTCCGGTCTTCTCCTGTCACTGTGCATTACAAATATTCTACTGAAACAGGAAAGACATTTTTTTTCAGAGATAGGCTTTTCCTGTTGTATGATTCATTAAATGGTGTTGAGGTTCCATGGAGACTAATTGTGATCAATCTCTTAGAAGAATGCTTTTAAGGAACAAGATGAAGAGACAAGAAATCTAATAGGACTTCCTTACTGTGCCGCAGATTTCTTCCTTAACCTTGGACAAATCACTGTCTGTGTCTCATCTTACTAATCATTTGCAGTTTT